ACCCTAATTAACCCTAAACCCTAAACCCTAAGCCCTAAACCCTAAACCCTAAACCGTAGCCCCAGAAGCCCTAGAAGCCCTACAAGCCCAAGCGCTTTATAAAGCTCGAAGCCCAAAGAAATGTTCAAGTCCACGAGCCCTGCAGCCTAAACCCTGATCCTTAAGAAGCCCAAGGATTGAAAAAGCTCCCTCTGATTTAGGGTTTAGGGTTTAGGGTTCAGGGTTCAGGGTTCCGGGTTCAAGGTTAGGGTTTAGGGTTTAGGATTTAGGGTTTAGGGTATAGGGTTTAAGGTTCCCTCTGAACCCTATACCCTTCACCCCAATCAGCCCGAAAGGCTACGAGCCCAAGACCCTGAGCCCGAAACCCTGGGAAGACCTGAGGTCCTAAGAAGCTCCAAGTACAGCCTCGTCGAAGCCATCCGAAGCCGTATAATTAGTACAGTAGCCCTAAACCCTAAACCCTAAACCTTGTAAACCCTAAACCCTTAGACTTACCCCCAAAGCCTGTAAAGCCCCCAAGCCCCCCTGAGGACACGGCGATGCCCGAGCTCTTCATCGTCCTTCTCGGTTCGCTGATGCACCTCGCCGCCGTCGTAGGGTTGCGGGTTTAGGGTTTTGGGGTTTTGGGGCTTTGGGGTTTTGGGGCTTTGGGGTTTTGGGCGTAGGGCTTTGGGTTCTTTCAAAGGATACAGGCTACCAGGGCCTGGGGTGCATTTCAAAAACCCAACCCTAAACCTTAGAGCCTGAGGGAGTATTCTAGGGTCTATAGCACTAGTGGGCCGCTCAGGGATTCCGAAAGGGCCAGACTTGAGTCTTGAACCCTGCACCCCCTCAAATCCTTAACCCCCAAGCCCCTGATCCCTAAGACGTGAATGTCCAAGCCCGAAATAGACAGGAAGCACTAGGCCCTGACTGAACCCTAAGCCCTAAACCCTAAACCCTAAACCCTAAATTTAAGAGCCTCCGGCTCAAGCCGCCGACCCCGCTGGAGCATAGTTGAGACCCGCTCGCATGGAAGATCATCCCCCCAGCAGAGTTCTGTGAATCGTTTGGGGGGGGGGGTAGGGGCCAGGACAAGCTCAAGCCAAAAAAGGCAGGTGGGTGGGGGTGGGGGGGGGGGGTGCGGCCGGTGCGGTGGGGGGGGGGTGGGGGGTGGGGGGGTGGGGTGGGGGCGGGGGGCGGGGGGGCGGGGGGGGGGGGGGGGGGGGGGGTGGGGGGCTGATTTTGCTGAGGGCGCCCCTACCCCCCGTGCTGAACCCCCTGTTTACGCTGTGCGGGTGGCGCGGTCCTCCATGAAAAAATTGTGCTCCCCTCCCCGCCGCGTTTTGGGGGGGGGTAAGGAGGGAAAGAGGGAGGTTTTCACCTCCTTTTCCCATCCAACACGCCGCCAGGGTCGGCGGACCCTAAACCCTAAACCCTAAACCCTAAACCCTAAACCCTAAACCCTAAACCCTAAACCCTAAACCCTAAACCCCTAAACCCCTAAACCCCTAAACCCCTAAACCCTAAACCCTAAACCCTAAACCCTAAACCCTAAACCCTAACCCCTAAACCCTAAACCCTAAACCCTAAACCCTAAACCCAAACCTTGAGCCCTAGACCTAAACAAGAGAAGACAGCTTGCCATCGGGAAAATCAGGCTCATTGGTTAGCTTTGTTTCATAGGGATCGTCCCGAAGGTTCTGGAGCAGAAGAGCGCAAGAGCCACGATCAAGAGAGGGGGATTTAGGGTTTAGGGTTTAGGGTTTAGGGTTTAGGGTTTAGGGTTTAGGGTTTAGGAGAGAGGGAGAGAGGGGGATTTAGGGTTTAGGAGAGAGGGAGAGAGGGGGAGAGGGAGAGAGGGAGAGAGGGGAGAGGGAGAGAGGGTACATCTCTCTCGACCCCAGCAACAGTTTTGAGCCAGCCTCAGGGCGGGCGAAGACGCCCGGGAGCTTGCCCCTTGTCCCAAGAAGGAAAGAAAGAAAGAATAAAGAAAAACAACAGAAAGAAAGAAGGAACAAAAAGAAAGAACGAAAGATAGATATACATGGAGCGAATCACAAGAGATCAGAGAGGGACAGGAGAGTTTCACACCCCCCCGAAACCTCCCAGGAAGGCTAAACCTCAACCCTAAGCCCCATCCCTAAACCCTAAACCCTAAACCCTAAACCCTAAACCCTAAACCCTAAACCCTAAACCCTAAACCCTAAACCCTAAACCCTAAACCCTAAACCCTAAACCCTAAACCCTAAACCCTAAACCCAGGAAGGTCGTCGAGCTCCCCTCCGACGCAACGCCTTCCACCGCCTCCGATGCGGCGGCGGTGACGTCCTCTCTTCGGCGGACAGTGCTCGGACCTGCGTTTACAGGTTTAGGGTTTAGGGTTTGGGGTTTGGGGTTTAGGGTTTAGGGTTTAGGGTTCAGAACAGGGGCGGGGAGCTTTGAACATAATAATTGCCCTTAATCCCCAAGATAATCCTTATAATGGGTTTGCAGAAGGGGGGGGCCTTTACCCCTCAAAGCTTGGCCCGAACCTGTCCGGGTGCTGGGCTTAGGGTTTTTGGAGCTTAGGGCTTTAGGGCTTTAGGGCTTCAGGGCTTTAGGGCTTTAGGGCTTTAGGGCTTTAGGGCTTTAGGGCTTTAGGGCTTTAGGGCTTTAGGGCTTTAGGGCTTTAGGGCTTTAGGGCTTTAGGGCTTTAGGGTATAGGGTTTATGGGATATGCAGGCTTTACAGTTACAAGGTTTATGGGATTGAGGTTTAGGGTGAAGTTTATAGGGTTTGTGGGATGTGCACCCAGAGAGCTCAATACCCCTCAAGTAAGAAATTCACCTTGAAGTTATAAAAGGGGTCCTTCAAACCCTAAACCCTAAACCCTAAACCCTAAACCCTAAACCCTAAACCCTAAACCCATATTCCTTATTTAGGGAGTATTGGGCTCAATGGGTACAGAACAGGGGTAGGTTTGAACATATTTTTGAGTTGCTATTTCCCTTAGTCCCCTATATGATCCTTCAGAAGCCATAAACTTTAGGGTTTAGTGTTTAGGGTTTAGGGTTTAGGGTTGCAGGGTTTAGGGTTTAGGGTTTAGGGTTTAGGGTTTAGGGTTTAGGGTTTAGGGTTTAGGGTTTAGGGTTTAGGGTTTAGGGTTTAGGGTTTAGGGTTTAGTTTTGATAGGGCCCCCGAACCTCCTGCAGACAAGGGGGGGCTTTACCCCGAAAGCGTGGGCCCAACCGTTTCCTGTTCCGGGCCGGGGCCTTTTGGAGTTTAGGGCTTGAGGCTTGTTTAGGGTGTTCCCTAAATTATTACACCCTAAAACCTAAACCCAAACCCCAAACCCTAAACCCTAAACCCTAAACCCTTCGTTCTTGCATGCGTGGCTACCTGTAGTCTACAATTTGCATCAGAACCCACCAAAAAACAAACAATATTATTCCTTACCAAGGGCAACATAGGGGTTGTTATCTTTTATGATTTCAGAGAGGGCGTTCTTAAGCAATATCGTAGTTTTCATTGCTCAAGAACGAAAGTTAGGGGATCGAAAACGATCTGATACCGTGCTAGTCTTGACCATCAACTATGCCAACTAGAGATTGGAGGTCGTTACCTATACGACTCCTTCAGCACCTTATGAGAAATCAAAGTTTTTGGGTTCCGGGGGGAGTATGGTCGCAAGGCTCAAACTTAAAGGAATTGACGGAAGGGCACCACCAGGAGTGGAGCCTGCGACATAATTTGACTCAACACAGGGAAACTTAACAGGTCCGGACATAGCAAGGATTGACAGATTGATAGCTCTTTCTTGATTGTATGGGTGGTGGTGCATGGCCGTTCTTTGTTGGTGGAGTGATTTGTCTGGTTAATTCCGTTAACGAACGAGACCTTAACCTGCAAAATAGTTACATGTAACCACGGTTACATGGGCAACTTCTAGAGGTACTTCGTGTGTCTAACGCAAGGAAGTTTGAGGCAATAACAGGTCTGTGACGCCGTTAGCTGTCCTGGGCTGCATGCGTGCTACACTGATGTGCTCAACGAGTTTACAATCTTGCCTGAAATGGCCGGGCAATCTTTTTAAAATGCATTGGGATGGGGATAGATCATTGCAGTTATTGATCTTCGACGAGGAATTCCTATCACGTAGTAATAGGTGCAAACAGGCAGAGTAAATAGACCTACCTCTTTCAGGGCTAAACTGCCAAGGGGCAAAGTTCAAACAGCATATTTTTAACCTTATCATTGTCTCATAGTTTGCGACTTGATTAGTTGTAAAGCAGAAATGTCCAGGTACCTTATCAGCAAGGAGATCCTGACAACCACCACCGCGAATGCAAGTGTTGAACCTTATCGCTACTGGCCCTTGTGCCCTTTAAGCCTTATCTTCAACAGAGGTCTTAAAGAGCCACCATCCGAAACCACTGAAGCTTTCTACTGGCCATTGTGCACTTCGACAAGTTGAACCTTATCAGTAGGAAGGGATCCTGAAAACCACCATCGCGGATACAAGTTTTGAGCCTTATCACTACTGGCCCTTGTGCACTTTGAGCCCCACTTTCAACAGAGGTCTTAACAGACCATCACCCGCAATCTGAAACTTATCCGTAAGAGAATCCTGACAACCAACACCACGAATACAAGTGTTGAGCCTTATCACTACTGGTCTTGAAGAGCCACCATCGACAGTTTGAAACTATTCAGTAGGAGGGATCCTTACAACCGCCTTGCCTAAGCCTTGCCTAGCAACAGGAAAAGTCAAGGAGGAGAAGAGGAGGAGAAGCAGAGGAGGAGAAGAAGAGGAGGAGAAGCAGAGGAGGAGACGAAGAGGAGGAGAAGAGGAGGAAAAGAAGAAGAGGAGAAGCAGAGGAGGAGGAGGAGACCTCATCTTTAAGAGGTTGTTCGAACAGCATCGTTGACCAACAATGGTTTGAACCTTGTCTTTTCGGCAAGAAACATCATATCGCTGTGAGCTCTGGGATCTTGCTGTGAATTTTCTGTGTCCGGATCCAAGTAGTGCTAGCGCAGCCATGGACGTTTACCAAGAGGTCGCCAATAAGCTGGACCTCACAGAAGAGGACATGTACCAGCACGTGCTGGTGCAGAGCTTGGCGGATGCCCAGCAGTATCAGGACTGTCTACGCAACATCGACCGGGCTCCTGAAGGAGCGTGGCCCGAAGCGCAAGGTCGCCCCCGGCTTCGGGGACTGCCTGCACGGGTCCCTGTACGAATCAGCCTGGGCCAATTAATTACGGGGGGATCACCGACATCCGTGTCGGAGTGTACCAGGAGTGGGTGAAGCATCGGGTCATGTCAAAAAGGTACTTCTCAACCTTCCTCTTGTAGAAAACTAGGGCTCAAAACAAAGCTTGCCAAGGATATTTGTGAACCTCATCGTCTGCGAATATTTTGAAAAGTCGCTTTGAGGAGCGAGTGGACAACTCGGCCTCGTACCGGGACTTTGTTGTGGATGAAGACTACAACAGTCGGGCTCGGAGTGTCCGGATTCCTAAAACCCGGACAACGACCTGGAGCTCCAGGTAAAAGTGTTTGAAGCAAGTGTTCTGCGTGTTTAACTGAGGGTTCTGTTCTTTTTGCTTAGGCTTGCTGGACGTTCATTGCACACGAGAGGCTTTCCTGAACAAACACCAATTCGGGGTCAAGGTGTGCACGGCATGGGTGGATATGGCCTCGAGGGACTATGTCCTAGACACCGTCGTCAAATGGCCTACCAGGCTTCCAGGGCCAGAGCAAGTCCTGGAGATCTGCAACAGGATGGTCCTTTGCCTTTGTCCCTCCGCTCCATCGTCCGGCTCTGCCTTTGCTGCTACAGGTTTCGCAGCAGAGCCTGCGGCCTTCAGGGTTTTGGGGTTGTGGGTGGGTATCGTTGGTCCTGCCGCCCATTTTCGGAGCCCGCCGAGTATGCCCGGAGTGCCCACTCCCAAAGAAGCCACGCAGGGAGCACCACCCAGTGCTCCTTACAGTGTCCACCTCTTGGAGGAGCAGGCAAAGCCCGACGAGTATCCCTGGAGTGCCCGCCCCCAGCAAATTCCCCTAAACCCTAAACCCTAAACCCTAAACCCTCAATCCCCTAAACATTGCCGCTCCGAAAGCGGCTGAATGGCTCTCTGCATCGGTAGCTAGAAAATCCTAGACACGATTTTGAAAAAAAAAACCTGCAAACCCTGCATACCCAAAACTTGGGATGTTCCCCCTTATACCAACAGCCCTGAATATGGGGGGGGGGGGGGGGCGCTATAGTCCCTTTGAAGGACTGTTAGTATAAGGGGAACATCCCAACCCAAAACCCAAAAATCACAAATTCCAGACAGCCCAGACACCCAGTCGCCTAACACAGCCCTTTGACTTAGTGGGTTTAGGGTTTAGGGAGCCCTAACTCCTAAACCTCAGCATCCCCTAGATACCCTTTCATAATCCCCATAATACACTTTGCCAACCCTACCTGCGACGTCAAGAGGGCTTCCAAGATAGCCACTCCACCGAGGCACTCCTGCGCGAAGCCTTTACCCGACATCGCGAAGGTCAAGTTGAGGCAGGGAGTTGGGGCGGTTTTGGGATTAGGGTTTTAGGGCTCTAGGGTTTTAGGGTTTTTGGGTTTTTGGGTTTTTGGGTTTTTGGGTTTTTGGGTTTTTGGGTTTTTGGGTTTTTGGGTTTTTGGGTTTTTGGGTTTTTGGGTTTTTGGGTTTTTGGGTTTTTGGGTTTTTGGGTTTTTGGGTTTTTGGGTTTTTGGGTTTTAGCGTTTTAGGGTTTAGGGTGTAGGGAGAACCCAGGGTGTCGGGACAATTAGAGGCTTTACTTCGGTATGCCAGAGAACAAAGAAGCCCTTTTTACCACTTCAGAGACCCCCAAATAGGCTAATGCTTCGGCTTTAAACCCTCAACCCTAAACCCTAGCATTAAACCCTAAACCCGAAGCCCTAAAACCTCAACCCTAGAGGGCTTTCGGGCTTTCGAAGCCTCACGAAGCCTCACCAGTCCGCGTGGTCGCCCCACGCGACTCCATCCTCCCGTTGGGGCCGCAAGGACCGCCGGTTGCCAGTGGAAGCCCTAAACCTTAAACCCTAAACCTCAAACCCTAAGCCCTTCCGCTGTTAAAAATGTTTATCATTGCAAGTTTTAACAACGGGTCAGGGTCACCCCTACGCCCGCTTCTAAATGACTTCGGATGAGAGAGCTCCTCCCCATCCCCGATTCACCCCTCCTTCCCGGCCAAAAAAGAGGTGTTAGCTCATAACCCCCTTTAAACCCAAAAGGGGCGACCTTGTTGTTCTTATACAGGAAACTCCAAAAAGTTGGAACATCCTTATCCCCACACCCCAAAAGGTATACTAAAAGGAATTCCAGCTTTAATCATCCTTCAACCGTGTTCCAACTTTCTCGTTTTTTCGGTAGGTTACTACCAATACGGTAGGTTACTCTTTCGGTTTAGGGCGCTAGGGCGGCTTCAGGGGGTGTTTGGGGTTTGGGTGTCAAGCTGGTTTTGAAGCTTGGGTTGGGTTGCGAGAAAATCCTGAGCCAGGCACCATCCCGTCTGGAGCCTACATGCAATGCCTACGCTGTGTGAAATTATGTATATATATATGGAGCATATATATATATACACATTGTTCAATATTTTTATAGATAGATAGACAGATAGATGGATAGATATTGAGATGGTTCGGAATCAATGGCTCGTAGGGCTTAGAGGTTGCAGGCAAATACAACTCATGAGCGCTAGCATCTACTCAACTCCTGGAAGGTGTCAGAGTAAAACATAGGGGGTGGGCTCAACTTTCCCTAAGGCCTAAGCCTAAACCCTAAACCCTAAACCCTAAAACCTAAACCCTAAACCCTAAGCCCTAAGCCCTAAGCCCTAAACCCAAACCCTAAACCGCCACCTCACACAGTCCAGAGTCCTAAGCCCCTCCCAAAACATTGCACATCATGATCCTCATGCTCCAAGAGGGTTACTGAAGGGAATCCCAGCACAAATCTTCCTTAAGCCATGTTCCAACTTTGTGGAGTTGACTGTAGGGGGATTTCGGGGTGGCCTAAGCCCTAAACAGCCAGAGCCAGGGTTTAGGGTTTAGGGGTTTAGGGGTTTAGGGGTTTAAGGTTTAGGGTTTCGGGTTTAGGGTTTAGGGTTTAGGGCCCTAAGCAGTCCGCACCGTGAGTGTTGGGGAGGAGTGCTTGGCCCCAGCGGGATGGTCCTGGTCGTTGGGTCGACACTTGATCCTGGTGGACCCTGAGGCTGGAGAGATTTCATAAGGGTTAGGGTCCTTTTGGAGGGTGGAGGGTCTAGGGTTTGGGCTTTAGGGTTTAGGGTTTAGGGTTTTATTTAGGGTTTAGGGTTTGGGGTTTAGGGTTTGGGGTTTAGGGTTTAGGGTTTAGGGTTTAGGGCTCTGTATGGTTTAGGGTTTCAGTGTTTAGGCGGTGGTTTCGTGTCTAGCGTTTGGGCGCCCTTAGAGTGGCCTAGACACCCTTTAACTTGGGGCTAGAGACCTTTTGTCAGAATTTGTCTATGACGACGGTCTACCTGAAGTGCCCTAAACCCTAAGCCCTGAACCCTAAACCCTGAACCCTAAACCCTGAACCCTAAACCAGGCTGTTTGGGGACTTCAGGCTTCGGGGGGGCTTCATAGCCACAAGGCGCCCCCAGAAGCCCGGAATGCTTTGCTTTGGGGATCCGTAGGGCCTTAAGAGCCCAACACCCTGTCTCGGTGGATGACAAGAACTTCCTTTTGTTGGGCTTGGGGTTTAGGGCTTACGGTTTAGGGTCTTAGGATCCCTGAAAAGCCCCCTTAAGCCAAGAAGGGCACCCTTTTCATTCCCAGGTTACTCTTGGGTTTGGGGTTTACTCTGGGCTTTCAGTTGGGCTTGGGGTTGAGGCCTGCAACCCGTAGCCCAAAGCCTGCCCGAAGCTACAACCAGAGCCCTAAACCCTAAACCCTAAACCCTAAACCCTACAAACCCTAAACCCTAATCCTTCAGACTCCGTGACAGGCCACCCCCCAGCGATGCTTTGGCCTCCTCCAATTCCCTGAAGTGCGCCGGTTTCGGGGTTCAGGGGTTCAGGGGTTCAGGGGTTCAGGGGTTCAGGGGTTCAGGGGTTCAGGGGTTCAGGGGTTCAGGGGTTCAGGGGTTCAGGGGTTCAGGGGTTCAGGGGTTCAGGGGTTCAGGGGTTCAGGGGTTCAGGGGTTCAGGGTTTAGGGTTTATTGGTTTGTTGGTTTAGGGTTTAGGGCTTGGGGTTTAGGGTTCAGGGTCTGGGGGGTGTAGGGTTTGGGGTTAGAGGGTTCAGGGAGCCGGGGGCCTAAAGGGGGTTGAGGGTTTAGGGTTTAGGGTTTAGGGTTTAGGGTTTAGGGTTTAGGGGGTGAGTGGGTCTACAGTCAGAGTTTGCCTATACAGGGTAGGACAAGCTCATCGAGGATTTGAGGCCCCAAGAACTCGAAGCTGCGGAGCTCGTCAAGCGCCACCCCTGGGACGACGCCGTCGCGGTTTGCGTCTTCTTTCGCATTGATGCTGCCGGGGAACGGAAGAACACGCCCCGAAAGAGCTGCCCGCCAGTCAGAAAGCAATGGAGGAAATGAGCAAGGCAATTTCGAAAGCCAGGGTCACTGCTCGCGGAGGTGCATTGCCAGCCGACGGTGATGATGACGCCCTGCTGTTGGGGTGAGGACCCAGAGTAGGCCCTTATTTCCGTTTTTGTTTTAGGGTTGGTTCCCTTAGAAGCTCCACTTCACCCTTTTTTCTTCCTAGGTTGCTTTTGGGTCTATGTTATAACTTTTTGGTGCTTGACTGTAACTTTAGATCTTTTTAGCATTTTTGGTTTATTGGGTTTCTTAGTAAGGTAGCTAAAGTTTAATTTATAGCTACCCTGCTAAGTGCAGCCAAGATAAATGGTTAAGAGGGTCGAAGTGAAGAGTCAGTTCGGAGGGTTTCGAGGGCCAACCTGGTATACTTCCTCGTATGCTCAAGCATTGAGATCTTCATGTCTCTGGAGACCTCACTTGGCAGGTTTAAGAGTTTTTGGGCATTTTTTTATGCTCTCTCTTTAGCTCTCAAGAATTGACAAGGGTCTGCATGAGAACTAGGAGCCCCAAGAACACACCATAACTCAAGAAGTTGCCCTTACAGGCTAAGCAGTATGTGGCCCATACCCCTCCACCCTGAGCCTGAAAACCCGAGTGCAGGAGCCCAACCAATCATCCAAGCCTGAGCCTATATGGGCCCTATAGACTCCTACGTTCTGCTATCGAAAGTTGCCGTTCGAATCCATCAGGCCCCTTACATGAAACCCTCGTAAGCCCAAGAAATTGCTTAGTAGTAGTGTAGGTAACCTTTAACCTTTTTTGGGTTAATATATTCCCCTTATAATCCCAAAGGTTAACCTTTAAAACCCCTAGGTACTGGACAACTAAGATTGCCCCGGCGGGGCCAGAGGAAGGAGGTCGCGGGAAGAGGGGGAGGCCAGCTTGGACGACTTGGTGGCGCTCAAGCAGCCAAGATGACCGAGATCACTCCTGAGTGGCTGAGAAACCCTAAACCCTAAACCCTAAACCCTAAACCCTAAACCCTAAACCCTAAACCCTAAACCCCCCAGAGAAACCCTGGACGAGGGGAAGCAGCAGCGCGTGGGCTGGGCCTCCTCCACTGTCCAGGCCACTGGCAAGGCCGGGGTCTTCCGCCAGAAGGTGAGGAACCTTCCTTGGTAGCCCAGTGGTACCCTTTACCCATTTTTTGTGGGTTATGGGTTCCCTTATAAAATAACTCCAACCCCAAAAAGGGTGCCCTTATTAGAATATGGTCTCTGGGCTACCAATCTTCTGGGCTCCCTCTCATGGCCACTGGCACGGTCCCTCCCAGCGTCCGCGGCTTCAACGTAAGGCAGATGGCGACCATCAACCCTTGGATTCCTAAGCGTTTGTCCTCAACCCTAAACCTTGAGTAGGTAAGCCTAAGATCCGCGACTCTAGAGGCGATGTAAGCCCGATCAACTGAGACACCCTATAGCCTATAGTGAAGTTCGGTAAACACGTCATCGCTTTTGTAGGCCACCTCCTGACCTCGCAAGGGCCTTCCTAGCAGTAAGCTACAAAAGGCAGTGTTTTGGGGGGTTCCTGAGGTATAAGAAACAACCCACAAGCCCTCACACATCTAGTTGTGCCCTAGCCCTAAACCCTAAACCCTAAACCCTAAACCCTAAACCCTAAACCCTAAACCCTAAACCCTAAACCCTAAACCCTAAACCCTAAACCCTAAACCCTAAACCCGAGGTACCGCAGATGGCGAGCAAGCTTCGAGGCCATGAGCCCTAAAGCCCACCCTTGGGGATCATGGGTGTCTAGCATTTTGGTTTACAAGTAATGTTCAGGGTCTAGGGTTTAGGGTTTAGGGTCTAGGGTTTAGGGTTTAGGGTTTCGGGCTGTAATGTTTGCCTTAAGAATTTGGGGTCCAGCAGGAGCCCTACCCGAGCACACCCTACACCTTGGGATGTTCCCTAAACCCTAAACCCTAAACCCTAAACCCTAAACCCTAAACCCTAAACCCTAAACCCTAAACCCTAAACTCTAAACACTGTTAGTGTAAGGGGGAACATCCCAACCTACACCCTTCAGGGTCCCGGTTGGATCCCTTATTACCCCTGACCCTTCAGGCGAAATCTAAGTTTTACAATCCCATATAGACCTTTCTTTACAAACCCTTGCAACCCTGAACTGAAACCCTAACCTGCCCCAAACCCCAAACCCGAAACCCGAAACCCCAAACCCCAAACCCCAAACCCTAAACCCTAAACCTAAACCCTAAACCCTAACCCCCGGAGTTCTAGCAGGCTTCCTCTCCCTGAAAGGCTTTTGGCCTCGATTCCTCATGGAGGTGGTAACTTCCATCCTGGAGCGAGCGGGTGCTGGCACGCGCAGCTCGGAGACACGCCAGGTTCAGGGTTTAGGGTTCAGGGTTCAGGGTTCAGGGTTCAGGGTTCAGGGTTTAGGGTTTAGGGTTTAGGTTTAGGGTTTAGGGTTTAGGGTTTAGGGTTTAGGGTTTAGGGTTTAGGGTTTAGGGTTTAGGGTTTAGGGTTTAGGGTTTAGGGTTTAGGGTTTAGGGCCAGGAAGCCCTACACCTGAGACCCCCAAACCCACTCTAAGCCCCACACCCTACATCCCCCACCCCTCAATTGTTGTATCATGATGCACTTCAAGCGTCCCTGCGGTCTTAGGGTTTAGGGTTTAGGGTTTAGGGTTTAGGGTTTAGGGGTTAGGGTTAGGGTGCAGAGATCTCAGGCCTTCTTCAGCGGCACGAGCAGGCCCAAGTCACCCGACAGCGCCCCGACAAGCAAGAGACACAAAGAGCCCACTGCCTCTTAATTGAGGAATGCTGGTTTTAGGGTTTAGGGTTTAGGGTTTAGAGCTTAGGGTTTAGGGTTTAGGGTTTAGGGTTTAGGGTTTAGTTTAGGGTACCTTAATATCTAGGATCCCCAAATAAATTCTGGGATGTTCCTTGAGAAAGGGGTATTGGGCTCCATGGGGACACAAGGGGCTCCATGGGGACACAAGGGGCTGATGGGTTTTCTAAGTTTCATTTAAGGTACGATAATTACACCCTGATCCCGTAAACAGGCTCGTTAGAAAACGGAGTTCAGGGTTTAGGGATTCGGGCTCAGAGTTCAGGCTTTGTGGCGACACGGTTATGCCAACGAATAAAGGGCTCTCAAGGGAGGGGGGTTCATGGGCGTGTAGGTGCTACGGAATCTTAGGAGTAGTGAATACTGCGCCCTAAACCCTACACCGTAAACCCACCACCAGAAATCTTAACACGTTGTTCAAGGGTTGGAATAGGTAGGGGTGGTACGTCCCCCCTTTCCCCCCAGAAGGTTCTAAATAGATCTAAATCAGTCAGATTCTTCTATGGGATGAGCTGGGTTTACCCAAACCCTAAACCCTAAACCCTAAACCCTAAACCCTAAACCCTAAACCCTAAACCCTAAACCCTAAACCCTAAACCCTAAACCCTAACCTAAACCAGGGTTTAGGGGGCCTGTCGGCACTTTTCTTCAGGCACAGCAAAGCGTACCGGCTTCGTCTCATGTGGACTTGCAGGGCTCCATGGGATGCTCTTAGGGTTTAGGGTTTAGGGTTTAGGGTTTAGGGTTTAGGGTTTAGGGTTTAGGGTTTAGGGTTTAGGGTTTAGGGTTTAGGGTTTAGGGACACACTACGTAGTCGCTGGCTGAACCAAGAGAGACGAGCCTAACTGGGGAGGACCTGGGATTTTGTGCTTCGGGGTCAAGAGGATCTGGATTGAGGAGTTTTGTTCGGAGGGATTTTATGGACCGAGGGTTGGAGTGTTGGGGCTTGAGAGGTATTGGTGGGTCGCACACTCCGTGGCGTTTGAAAAGGTTCGACTGAAGCCTCCGAGCCCGTGCTCTTTCAGCTGACAAGGGCACCACACCCTACCTTGGAGCACCCGAATGCAGTGGGTTTCGGGGTAAACCAAATTTGTGGGAACTCCATGATACCCTAGGACTGCAACCCCCATGAGCCTCACGATTGAGGTGAGCCTGCTAAGTGGCAGGGCGGTTTCACTGGAAGCAGGACCGGATGAGTCCGTGGAAACATTGAAGAGCAGAGCTCAGAAGACTCTGGCAGTTGGCAGGGGCAGGCTCGTGGACTCCTCCGGCAGCGTTCTGGATGGAGCAGCCACGCTTGAGGAATGTAGGTTGAAGAGCGGCGATAGGCTCACCTGGCAGGTGAGCAGCATTTGCGTTCGCGGCAGCTCTGGTGCTTTTGCTGCAGTGCTTGGTGATGGGTCGGTCGTGACCTGGGGACATGAAGGCTCTGGCAGCGACAGCAGACATGTGCAAGCTCAGCTGAAGGATGTAAAGCAGCTCCAGGCTACCAGCACGGCTTTTGCTGCCATTTTGGGCGATGGGTCTGTTGTGACATGGGGGCATTCTTTTTTTGGTGGCGATAGCCTTGATGTGCAAAGCCAGCTAACGGATGTGCAAGAGATCCAATCCAACAGCAGGGCTTTTGCTGCCATTCTTGGCGATAGATCAGTTGTCACCTGGGGCGATGTCCAGCCCCCGCAAGATGAGCTGAAGGACGTTCAGCAGATCCAAGCATCTCAGGCCGCTTTTGCTGCGATCCTTGGCGATGGGTCTGTGGTGACCTGGGGCACTGCTGCCTGTGGTGGCGACAGCAATCATGTTCAGGCTCAGCTACGTGATGTTCGGCAGATCAAAGGATCTGCATGGGCTTTTGCTGCCATTCGTGGCGATGGAACTGTTGTGACCTGGGGTGAACCTGACTTGGGTGGCGACAGCCGTGATGTGCAAGCTCAGCTGAAGGAGGTGCAGCACATCCAGGCTACCTTCCGGGCTTTTGCTGCCATTTTGGGCGATGGGTCTGTTGTGACCTGGGGCGAATCTGACTGTGGCGGCGACAGTAGTCATGTGCAAGGTCAACTGACGGGCGTGCAGCAGATCCAAGCTACCCAGACGGCCTTTGCTGCCATTCTGGGCGATGGCTCTGTCGTGACGTGGGGCGTGGCTAGCAGTGGCGGGGACAGCAGTGCTGCACAAGGTCAGCTGAAGCAGGTGCAGCAGATTCAATCTACCGGCAAGGCTTTTGCTGCCATTCTGGGCGATGGGTCCGTGGTGACCTGGGGCGATGCTGACTGTGGCGGCGACTGCAGTCGTGTGCAAGGTCAGCTCAAGGATGTGCAGCAGGTCCAAGCTACCCACACGGCCTTTGCTGCAGTTCGGGCTGATGGGTCTGTTGTGACCTGGGGCAGCCAGCGCCTTGGTGGTGACAGCAGTGGTGTACAAGACCAGCTGAGCAGCTGAATCATCCGTCACAACACTCCGCAGACATGGGCGCCGGGCCTCACGCAGCACGCCATACAAAGCAGTCTTAGCCTGTTCCTGTCTGGCCTGACACCTAAACTTTCTAAATCCCATAAATCCCACAAACGTTAAACAACCGAAAGCCCCAACCCCTAAACCCGGCTACAGCCAATGTAAACCCTAAACTCTAGAACTCTACACCCTAAACCCTAAACCCTAACCCCTGTGTAACCCGCCTAAGTAAGCCTTGTTGGTTGCCCAGTGGTACCCTTTACACTTTTTTTGGTTTATGGGTTCCCTTATAAAGTAACCAACCCCCAAAAAGGGTGCCCTTTTTAGAATATGGTCTTTGGGCTACCAAGCCTTGCACAAGGTGTCTCAGGGCCTGCTTGCTCCGCGCCAAGGTGGGATTCCCTTCGCTTGAGGGGCTCAGGATTCAAGGCTTAGGGTTTAAGGTCTGGGGTGAAGGGTTTTGGGGTTTGGGGTTGAGGGTTTAGGGTCTAGGGTTTGGGGTTTAGGGGTTGAGGGTTTTGGGTGTAGGACCTAGGAAGCTCGGAACCCTCGAGTTAGTACGATCACAGCATCCCCCCACCTGGCCTTCCAGCTTCGGGTCGCAGGGTTCAGGGTTTTAGGGTTTCGAGGGGTTTAGGGTATATAGACATTGTACAGGGTTTGGCTCCCAAAAGAAGTTTGGAACGAAACCGTTTGAACGAAGGTTTCTGAACGTAAAAGCTTGAACGAAAGTTTCTGCTTTAGAGCCTACTATCATGTTTTGTGGGTGGGCAGGGCAGGGGGGCCCCCGGATGGTCTGGGAGGCACCCAGAAGGCCAGGGAAGGCCCCTAAAAAGGCACTGGAAGACCTAAGCCGGTCCCGGGAGGCTGGACAGGTGCTTTGGAAGAATTTACTTCAACTGTTCTTCTCAGCTATTTCGACAAACTTGAAGCAATATACTTCAGCTTGGCCTGTCAGCTGCTTAGATAAACAAATGCTTTGGAGTAGTTTGCTTGTCTTGAGGGTTTGGGGCTCAGGGTTTAGAATCAAAAGCTGGATTCAATCACTGCTTCTCTGATAGGTGAGAAGTGAGCAGATGGAGGTGGAAAATTGGATAAGCCCTGAGCCCTCAACTCTAAACCCTGAATCCTAAACCCCGAAACCAAAACCCTAATCCCTAAACCCTAAACCCCAAACCCTTTCGCGAGTTCAGGCTTCAGGCGTTATGCCTTCTCGGGCGTCGAGCCTGAAAGGATTTAAGGGTAGTTTCATGGGCCCTTGGTATGGTCCCTGTCATCCTTTACAGGGTTCTGAAGTATTGGCCCTTAATTGACTTGTAATAGGGCATATGAGCGGTACACAAGGGCTCGGAATAATTACTCGTCAGAAGTTCCCTTATGGTCCCTTTGCAAATATTCTATATACCCCCCCTCCCCCCCCGAAACCCTGTTCTAATTATTCACGTGCCTACATTATGTACGGGGCACCCTTTTAAGGGCCCATACCCTGAACCTCAAACCCTAAACCCCAAACCCTAAACCCTAAACCCTAAACCCCAAACCCTAAGCCCTAAACCCTAAACCCTAAACCCTAAACCCTAAACCCTAAACCAGGGACCATGGAATTACCCGTAGAAAGGAGCTCCTGGAGCGCTTCTCGGATCAGCGCGACGAGCTTCTCAAGGACGCCCGCTCGCAAGGGTTTAGGGTTTAGGGTTTGGGGTTTGGGGTTTAGGGTTTAGGGTTTAGGGTTTAGGGTTCAGGGTTTAGGGTTTAGGGTTTAGTGTTTAGGGTTTAGGGTTTAGGGTCTAGGCTTCAGAACCCCACCCCCCACCCCCCTTGCCCCGCCAAAAAAAACTCCGTATGAGTACTATTCTTTCTTTTTTGGATGGTTCTGAAGCAAGTACTAGAGCAACACCCCCCCCCCCCCCCCCCCCCAAAAAAAAAAAAAATACCCTCATAATTCGGCTACTGGGGTACGGAGTGGCTTGAAGCTCAGACAGATGTTGAGGTTGGATGTTCCCCTTTATACAGACCGTTCTTAATCACGAGTATAGCACCCCCATAGCACCCCGGCACCCCCCAGTATAATCCCTAACAAGGACTTTCAGTTTAAGGAGGAGCACCCCAATGTTGAAGTTTACGGTGCATGGCTTGGCCCAATCATGTTCATCTGCAACACCCTACTTCCAACATACAAGAAACCTGGCTGAGAAGCCGAAACCCCCAAAGAGCCCAAGACCCCTTTAAAAAAGCAACATACCTTAAATCACATGAAGGACCCCTTGTATAATTTTAGGTATATTCCTTAGTGGAAGGGTATTGGTCTTTTGGGCCTTTTCCGAGATACTTACGGGGGGGCACCTATTGAGGGCCCTTGAAAGACATCCGCGAGACTTCTAAACCACGACCTAAACCCTAAACCCCAAGCCAGAAACCCTAAGCCATAAACCCTCAACCCTAAGCCATAAACCCTAAACCCTAAACCCTAAGCGCGAAACCCTAAACCCTAAACCCTGAACCCTGAACCCTAAACCCTAAACCCTAAACCCTAAACCCTAAACCCTAAACCCGAGGGTGGGGTGGGGACTTAGCCTGAGGCGCTCCAGCCCGCCTCTGGCACCCTGGAGTTTCTCTTCAACCGCCTTGCCTCCAGCGGTGCCCAGGGGTTTAGGGTTTAGGGTTTAGGGTTTAGGGTTTAGGGTTTAGGGTTTAGGGTTTAGGGTTTACGGTTTCGGGTTTAGGGTTTACGGTTTAGGGTTTAGGTTTTATGTTCGGAGGTGTTAAGGGGCAGTAGTGGATCCGGGGTTCAGCCTCGAAGGTTTAGAAGCTCAGGATAGAGGAGCCTCCCTGCAGATGATTGAAGTTTCTGGCTTCTGGGTTTGATTTGGGTTTAGGGTTTAGGGTTACAATCCAGCATCCCCAATCCCCTCTCAGATGTCATCCCATACCAGTTCGACAATCGCTAAACCCTAAACCCCAAAACCCTAAACCCTAAACACCCATGAGCCCCCCAAAAGGCCCAAGACCCCCAACCCCGCACGTCATGCAGGTGCAGTTCAGACCTCTGCGGCTGTGGTCCTGGCGCAGAGCGGGGTCCTGCAGATTTTGGGGGTTTGGGCATGTGAACGGTTCAGGGTTCTAAACCCTAAGCCCTAAACCCTAAACCCTAAACCCCAAGCCCATAGGGTTTAGGTGTTCAGGGTGTTAGAATTTAGCCCTTTGGAGGTGCCGCGTTTCGGGTTCAGGGGTTCAGGACCCCCTTGTCAAACATTCAACGAGTCACGTTTAGGGAAGCTGTTTCGTATTTAGCGGAAACTCTGTATGGAAGCTTGTCGATGTTTATAGGGATCTCGATAAGCCCTAAACTCTATATAAATCCTAAACCCTAAACCCTATATAAACCCTAAGCCTTGTAATGTTTATAGGGATTTGCTGTTTCGGGACGCTGAAAAAACAGGCAAGCGCTCCACCATCCGCCCACTCGCCGCTGGGTTTAGGGTTAGGGATAAGGGCTCCTTGCAGACATTCTTTTTGCTGAGGCTGGGCCAGTGAGCCATCGCTGTTTGCTTGTTTCGAGGCTGGGCATGTGGTCCCAAGAGATATAATATAGGGGCCTTGAGAATTAGAATAGGGTTTTGGTAACCATGATAGTATAAATATATAAGGACCCTGTGAATATTGCTAGCATTTTCTCCGACCCCTATATTAAGGCGGGTTTCCCAAATTAGGAGTACTTTTTCCCTACAAGGGCAAAAAGGGGGTCATTGCCGTTCTCAAGCAAATAGCCGCTATTGGGGGCGCCTCGATGGGGGTTTCCGAAAATTAGGGACCCCTACTTAAAATTCCCTGAAAAAGGGACCCCAGTAAGGTACCCCCCCATGTTCGGAAACTCCCATGTATAGGCACTGCTGGTTCTTGGTAGGGAATGAGGGAATGAGGTACCCTATATCCCCCTGTATATACCCTTTTCAGGGAGTATATAGGGTACCGAATTCCCCGATTCCCTACTAGGAACCAGGGGGAAGAGAGAAAATATGTGCACAAGATTCAGGCTTTCGGTTTGCGAGTGCAGAGCAAGCAGACCTGGGACCTTACAGCCCCTATGGGGAAAAGCAAAACAGGCCTGCCCTAAACAGCCCTACTATGGGGAAAAGCAAAAGCAGGGCGTCTTGGGGCTTGTGGGATTTGGGCGTTCACGTGTTTTGGATTGCACGTAACTATTCCGCAGTACATCTGGGGCGGAGGAGGCCGTGGAGATAGCAAGAGGCTCACAGTGACTAAACCCTAAACCCTAAACCCTAAACCCTAAACCCTAAACCCTAAACCCTAAACCCTAAACCCGAACCCCGGAAGCCCTAAATGTGTTTCGAGTGTTGTTAGGTTTGTGCCTGATGGGCGGAAGAAAGCTTCGAGCCCACGTTGGGGGGGGGGCGCGCATGGGTGGAGACGGGATGCTTTCCTTTTTTTGTCTTACCCGGATCCTTATACAATAGACTTATAGGGTTTAGGGTTCCGGGTTTAGGTGTTTGAGGGGATGGACCAATGATTCTGGGTACTTTGGGTAGTCTTTGGGTGGAGACCTCTGTGTTTCATCCGCGCGCACGTATGCAAACTCAGAATTCCGGCTGCACTTCCCTACTGGTGATGCGGGATCCGGTTTTAAGTTGGTCATGCCCACACACACCAAGTCTAGACCCCCAAGCTCTCGGCTCGCGTCTGTAGGGTTTAGGGTTTAGGGTTTAGGGTTTAGGGTTTATTGAACTTATTAAGGGTTCAGGTCCGGGGAAAGTTTCGAGGAGTTTCGAGCAATTTCGAGGAGTTTCGAGGAGTTTCGAGGAAAGTTTCCAGGAGTTTTTTTTTTGGATTTTCGAAAAATTTCCTTCAGAAGGCCCAAAAATTGGCTTCAGAGGATTGGCTTCAAAGGCCCAAATTGGCTTCAGAAGGCCGAACATGGGCTTCGGAAGGCCCAAAATTGGCTTCAAAAATTGGCTTCAGAAGGCCAAAATTGGTTTCAGAGGCCCAAAATTGGCTGCCCCAAAACTGGCTTTAGAAGGCCCAACTTGGCGCCAGAAGACCCAATTGGCTTCAGTCAGGAGGGCCAATTTGGCTTCAGAAGGCCCAATTGGTTTCAGAAGCCCAAACTTGGCTTCAGAAGGCCAAAATTGGCTGCAGAAATTGGCTTCAGAAGGTAAAAGTTCCAACTTGACTTCAGAAGACCTAAATAAAGTTGGCTGCAGAAGGCCAAAATTGGCTTCAGAGTCCCAAATCGGCTTCAGCAGACCCAAATTGGCTTGAGAAGGCCCAAAATTGGCTTCAGAAGGCCAAAATTGGCTTGGTTTCAGAAGGCCCAAAATTAGCTTCAGAAGGCCAAAATTGTTTAAGGCTCAAATTGGCCGCAGAAGGCCAAAACTGGCTTCAGAGGCCCAAATTGGCCCAGAAGGCCAAAATTGCCTTCAGAGGCCCAAATCCACCAGCAAAGAGCCCCATACGCAGTCACAAAGCAATTGACGGCAACTCGACAAAAAGAAGCCGGCAACTTTGCACCGCGCCAGCAAAAGTGGCCTTCCAAGAAAAGGAAGGAATAAGTTCAAGTTTACACATTGGCTTGAGGGTTTAGGGTTTAGGGTTTAGGGTTTAGGGCTTCTCACCAGCTGTCGGTTCTGTAGGCCTTCAAACCCGAAACCCCAACCCCAAAAAGATCCCCTGGCTCTTAGTAGGGAATGATGGAATGAGGGCTCTCTCTATCTATACAATATAATATAATAGAATAGAATATATTTTCAGAATATATATATATATATAGAATTGCCCTTTAAGGGATTCTACAGGTACCTCATTCCCTCATTCCCTACTAAGAACTAGCCAGAAGAGACTCGATCCCTGGCTTTGCCAGGCGTTTCCCTTCGTGCTACCAAGCCTCCTGCGCGTGCCTTCGGCACCCTCGGCCGGGGCCCAGGATCATCGGTTCAGTTGTTTTGGGTTTCTACCCCTAAACCCTAACCCCTAAACCCCTAAACCCCTAAACCCTAAAATTCAATCATGGGTACGTTACCCTACTTTTAATCCCTTTCTGGGGTCTGTGGACGAAAGCCAAAGTCCCAGAATCTCAAAAGTGCAGCCCCCCCCCCCCCCCCCCCCCCCCCCCCCCCCTTGGATGTAGGTTTACAGGCTAAGCTATACGGTTTACGAGCTATAGGATTTACGCGTTAATTAGAGAGTTTAGGCCTTTTATGGGGTTTCCCCGTTATAGAGTGTAGGGATATCGGATTTTGGAATTTTGGGGTTCAGGGTTTTAGGGCTGAAGTTTTTGTGGTTTTGGGGTTCAGGGTTACAAGCCCCAAAGTCAATCCCTGAAGTACTGTAACCCTAAGCCCTAAGCCGCCTAAGCCCTGTAAGCCACAGAACCCGAATTCAACCCCAAACCTTATCCTGTAAACCCTAAAGCCCCTGATGAAACCCTATAGGCCCTAAACCAACCGATTGGTCTAAGGGAAAGTTATATGGGCCCTGAATATGGTCCCTTACCTCCGTTAAAGGGTTCTGAAGTATGGGCCTTGGGTTGTAACTATAAGATATGCAACGGGCAAAGAAGGGTTCCCCATTTATGGGCCCATACTGAGGGACCATGGAGCTACCCCTAAACCCTAAACCCCAAACCCCAAACCCCAAACCCTAAACCCTCAACCCTAAACCCTAAACCCCAAACCCCAAACCCTAAACCCTAAACCCTAAACGCTAAACCCTAAACCCTTAAGGCACCTGCGAAGGGACCATGTAACTACTGTAAGAAGTGGGCTTGAGCGAGTCGCCAGTCGGGGGACCCCGGGGAGGGGGGAGGCGTACGGGATCAGAGTTGCAAAGTGCTTAGCTGATCTTTTTCTAGGGTTTAGGGTTTAGGGTTTAGGGTTTAGGGCTTAGGCTTAGGGTTGAGAGACTTGGTCCGGGTTCCTAGGGCTTTGGGGAGCTTGGAGGGTCCAGGGGGAATAAGGGTGCAGGGTTTCTAGGATGCCAAGTAGTACCCTTTTTCCCTTTTGGTAGGTTTAGGTTCCCTTATAGACCCCTTTAAGCAAACAAGGGCACCCTTTTTCATCCTAGGTTACTGGGCAACCTAGGTTTAGGGTTTCGAGTTTTGGGTTGGGGAAGCCTTCAGAAACTTCAGTCCTCGCTCTGCGCCGTGCTCTAAGCCCTAAACCCTAAACCCCAAATCCTAAACCCTAAACCCTCAACCCTAAACCCTAAACCCTTATTTCCTAAACCCTAAACCCTAAACCCTAAACCCTAAACCCTAAACCCAAACCCTACACGCACACGTGGCCTCGGGTGCTCAGGTGAAGGCCACCATTGCAGACAGCGGCAAGGCGCACGGTCTCAGGTTGTCAGGTTTGTGGATAAACGGTCTGGGACATTTCCCCAAACACGAACAGTCCTTAGCACGTGTTAAGGACTGTTAGTTGCTTATTGGGGTTTTCAGTTCGGTTTTATTCGGTCTTGGGGTTCAGGGTTTAGGGATCGGTCTAGGTCTTGGGCTATGCAGTGTGAGGGTATAACCGGGCCGCTGAACGAGCCCAGAAAGAGGTAATATGCAGTAAGGGCGGGAACAACTACGCATATTAGTATTCCCTTATGGCCCTGTATGGAGATTTGCGAAAACAAGTGACCCCGAAAATAGTCCCCCAAATAGTGGGAGTCAGTAGGATCCCCTATTCTCAGGACCCCAACAAGGAACCCTAATAGCGTAAACCCCCATATCACTATACTAGAATATCCCCCAAAGTTCTATTCTCATGATCAAGGCCGCCATAGTTATTATAGTATTCCCTTCTGGGCCGATATAACTATTGTTTACATATTTTGGGGGTTTACGCAAACCCTAAAAACGACATCGTCCCAAATGAGGTGACCACATCCCCTGTCCGTAGCATTTAGGGGGTCGAGATGTCGCAAGGCTGAGTCGAGAAAGGTAGAGACCCCCCCTCCCCCCCCCCCCCCGCCCCCCAAACGCCTGGTCTAGTCCTGTAGCTTGCAGGCGCTTATCTGAGACTTGAAGTCAGAGAATATTGAAATAGCCAACCCTGCGTCCGCCGGCCATGTCCCTTGCGATTGAAGTGAGCCTGCTAAGTGGCAGGACAGTTTCTCTGGAAGCGGCTCCGGATGAGTCTGTAGACTCACTGCGGAGCAGAGCAGAGAAGATGCTTGCAGTTGGCAGGGGCAGACTCTTGGACTCCTCCGGAGGCATCCTGGATGGAGCAGCAAGGCTTGAGGAATGTGGGCTGCAGTGCGGCGATACGCTGACCTTGCAGATGAGAAGCATTCTCGTTCGCGGCAATGTACTGTCTTTCGCGGCCCTGCTTGGCGATGGGTCTGTTGTGACTTGGGGTCATGCTGAGGGCGGTGGTGACTGCAATGCTGTCAAAGACCAGCTGAAGGACGTGCGGCAGATCCAAGCTACCAGCTTCGCTTTTGCTGTCATTCTGGGTGATGGATCTGTTGTGACCTGGGGCCGTGCTGAGAGAGGTGGCGACAGCAGTGAAGTGCAACATCAGTTGAAGGACGTGCGTCAGATCCAAGCATCGTTTAATGCTTTTGCTGCCATTCTGGGCGATGGGTCTGTAGTAACCTGGGGCAATGCTAGCGGCGGTGGCGACAGCAGCACTGTAATACATCGGCTCAAGGACGTGCAGCAGATCCAAGCTACCCGCCAGGCGTTTGCTGCCATTCTGGCTGATGGCTCTGTTGTGACCTGGGGCCGTGCTGATAGAGGTGGTGACAGCAGTGCTGTGCAACATCAGCTGATTGGCGCGCGGCAGATCCAAGCATCTGATAACGCTTTTGCCGCCATTCTGGAGGACGGGTCTGTAGTGACCTGGGGCGATGCTGGCGGTGGCGGTGACAGCAGTGTCGTTAAGGACCAGTTGAAAGACGTCCAGGGAATTCAAGCTTCAGGCGCAGCTTTTGCTGCCATTCTGGGCGATGGGTCCGTAGTAACCTGGGGCGATGCGGATTTCGGTGGCGACAGCGCTGCTGTTAAAGGCCAGCTGAAGGACGTCCAGCACGTCAAAGCTGCCAGCATGGCATTTGCTGCCCTTCGGGGCGATGGGTCAGTTGTGACGTGGGGGGCTGTTCTCCGAGGAGGCGACAGCAGTGCTGTGCAAGGTCAGCTTCAGGACGTGCAGCAGATCCAAGCTACCCGCCACGCGTTCGCTGCCATTCTGGGTGATGGGTCTGTTGTGACCTGGGGCCGTGCTGAGAGAGGTGGCGACAGCAGTGCTGTGCAAGATCAGCTGATAGACGTGCGGCAGATCCAAGCTACTGATGCCTAGTAGGGTAGATCGCCTTTAACCTTTTTGGGGCTATTTTGTTTACATCCCTTTGTAGTCCCTACTTCATCCCCAGCGTTTGCCTTTAGTCTTCCAGGCTTACCGGACAACTAAGGATGAAGCCTTTGCTGCGATTCTGGGTGATGGGTCTGTTGTTACCTGGGGACATGCTGAATGGGGTGGCGAAAGCAGTGAGGTGCAACATGAGCTCAAGCACGTGCTGCAGATCCAAGCTACCGACGGGGCGTTCGCTGCAATTCTGGGGGATGAGGCTGTCGTGACCTGGGGCGATGCTGCCCGTGGTGGCGACAGCAGTGCCGTGCATGGTCAGCTGAAGAACTCATAGCCGGTTCTGGTTCTGACCCCAAAGAGCCGAACACCCCTCAAATAACAAATACACCTCAAATTAAACTACGGACCCCCTTTTAAGTAAAGATCAATCCTAGGCTTACAGTAAGCTGAGTCCTGCCGGATCCCCTGTTTCGCGTTTAGGGTTCAGGGTTTAGGGTTTAGGGCTTTGCATTTCGCGAGGCCGGCGATGTTGTGCCCATTGTCGCCGAGATTGTCCTGCGGCTATGCAGAGGACCCCGGGCTTGTCTGGCGAACCAGTACTTGGAGGTTCATCATACTTATTCACCAATTATACCTGCACTTATAACTGTACTTATATCCTATTAGGGCATTTAAGGGGCTTACAAGTGGGTTCTAAGTACAGGTATACTTGGTGAATAAGTACCACGAACCGCCAAGTAGCAGCTGCAAGTCTAAAGTGTGAGTCCCACTAGAAGCTGCTCTTCTGACCGCGTATGCCTGCTCTTGTGACCGCTTCTCATGCCATTTCTCTAGACAATATGGCTTGAGATGTGCTTACTTGTTGTCGCGCAGCATAACTGCAGCAGAACCTATGGTGCTACTTTGTAGGTTTGAGGCGAATTGAGGGTTTTATATATGGGCGGACGTCAAAATACCATGTATGTAAAATATGATGGAAGTGCGATATGAAGTTCCGCCCTTGCTGGTTTATGTCTTCGCCACAAGGCGGCACCATGCGTATATGCAGGTTTCAGGCTCTTCCCCATGTAGGCGCTAGGATAGCGCTAGCGTGGCGCTAGGTGTTCCTTTCCAAAGGCTAACATTTTAGGGTTTAGCGTGTATGGTTTAGGGTTTAGAGCGAGCCAGCTTCGAGAAGCTTAAGTAGTATAGGCTGCCTGCGGCTTAGGTAAGACTGTAGAACATTGGGTTACACACCCTGAACCCTACACCCTAAACCCCGTGGTTGCTCCTGATGCATACTGCCGGCGTGCCAAAATCTAAATTCATGCGCCGAAATATGCGCTAGGTTGGCGCTAGCGTCGCGCTAGCAAATATGAAGGGAAACTGCTTGCGGTGGCCATTTGCCCATCCAAGACATAAAGCAGTACTAAGACAGCTGATTTGAAACATGGCCAACCTGGAAGAGCAAAGCACTACTAGCTCGAGCTCAAGTATACCTCCAATAGTTCCGATGACGATGCCTGAATCTTAAAATGGCGGCGCTAGTGTGTTTTGTGAGGTTTTTGCATAGGGAGCAAGAATTAGTACTACACTTCTGTACTTGCCAAAGCCATTGTTCCAGACCTTCGTTTTCCTTCTCGTCATAAGGCGGCACCATGATTTTTTCAGCATCCGCCGTTCCTGGAAGAAGGAATATTGACAGCCACCCATATCCCTCCTGTAAACCTTATAAGCGAGGTTGAAAGCATGCGCAACACTGAGGCATCAGTGAAAGCAAGCTGCGTGATTTGCGAGGATCCGTTCTGGACCTGAACACGGAGAAGAAGGCCACATGCACACTCGTGTTTCAGCATTAGCAGGTCTTAGGTTTAGGGTTTAGGGTTTAGGGTTTAGGCTTTAGGGTTTAGGGTTTAGGGTTTAGGGTTTAGGGTTTACGTAGGCCTCCACTCTATAGTCCGCTGACACTCGCGTGGATTTTGCAGTCTTGCAGATCCTGGAATCCATCATATTCACGATAGTGTCCGTAGGGGTTATGGCTGTTCTTTCATCTGAAAACAGAAGGAAGATTTCTAGGTTGATTTTGTTTTTCCTTATTTGGGTTTATAAGGGACCCTATATCGCCCTCTAGATAAATATTTTTCAGGGCGTTTACAGGCCGACCCAGATTTGAAACTGTGGGGGTTTCAGAAATTAGGGGTACCTTGTTGTTGGGTCCTTCTTCTAAGGGAATCCTATTCTGGGTTTTTTTTAGGTGTCCCCTGTTTTCGAAAACCCTGAAGCCTAAACCCTAAACCCTAAGCCCTAAGCCCTAAACCCTAAACCCTAACCCCTAAACCCCCATTTGAAACTTTTGCTATTGTTCGAAGCGGGGTCTAGTTCAGATAACCCTAAACCCTAAACCCTAAACCCTAAACCCTAAACCCTAAACCCTAAACCCTAAACCCTAAACCCGGTCTAGTTCAGATGTGGATGGATGCGCCATGCTCGCACGTGTTGGGAGAGGTGCTGCCTGAGTAGCCCCTCCGAAACCCAAACCGCGAACCCCAAACCCCAAACCCCATTCCCGAAACCCCAAATCCTAAGCCCTGAACCCTAAACCCGAAACCCCCAACCCCCGACCCGAGACCCTAAACCCTAAGCCCTAAACCCTAAACCCTAAGCCCTAGACCCTAAACCCTGACCCCCTATCTCTTCAAAGAAGTCCCCATGACCCCGCAGCTCGCATCCCCAAGTGGAAGCCAACATTCCAACGCTTGATTCCCATACCCAAAAGGCCGACCTTCCCCTGGCTCCCACCATCATGACGTCTATGACCACCGTTCATTTCGGGACGAGATGAACCCCAAAAAGGGTTTGTTGGTTCATATACCTTTAAGTGAATAGTATGTTTATTGGTTCATATACCTTTTATGAATAGCATTTATATTCGTGCAGGGTACGTGCCCCCCCAATTTTGGGGTTCATGGCTTCCCCAAGGACTTCAGACACAGAGCTGTGGTTGAGTAGTTTCGGGACAGGGATTTGGTGGGTTCGGCCCTGTGACCCCTTGACAGTTTAGGGTTTAGGGTTTAAGGCTGAGGGGTTTAGGGTTTAGGGTTTAGGGTTTAGGGTTTAGGGTTTAGGGTTTAGGGTTTAGGGTTTAGGGTTTAGGGCTAAAGCCTCTAGAACCCAGAGTAAGCCCTTGTTCCCCTTTTGTGAGGGCTGAGCTTCCCTCGCCTCATAAGCCCTGTTGAACCAAGAAGGGCACCCTTTGTGTTCCTGGGTTACCCTTGGGTCCAGTTAGCCCTAAACCCTAAACCCTAAACCCTAAACCCTAAACCTCGGGTCCGCAGGCTCGGCGACGATATGCGGACGTCAAGCGAGAGCTCCGGCGGAAGCGGCGGCTGCAAGGCATGCAGACTTACAGGTTTAGGGTTTAGGGTTTAGGGTTAGGGTTTAGGGTTTAGGGTTTGGGGTTTGGGGTTTAGGGTTTGGGGTTTGGGGTTTAGGGTTTAGGGCTTAGGGCTTAGGGCCTAGGGCTTAGTGCTTTTAGGGTTCGGGGTTTAGGCTTTAGGCTTTACTGGGCAGCCCAACACGCTGCAGTTAGGGAAGAGACGTTGAATTGCATAGCGTATAGGCTTTGTATTACAAATCAAGGAATTTCTTTCCTCGTCGTTTCTTTCTGCGGCTCTCTGGATTAGGGCGTTAAACCCTGAGACCTCCTTGGGGCACAGGGGGGGGGGGGGGA